ATTTAAATTATCGTGATACATAGGTTATAGGTACATTAATTTGAATATGTATACATTTCCATGACTTTGAGGTGTGAAATGTATTCGTCTGCATTTATTTTTAGTATAAGTATAAGTACTACTTTATTAGGTACATAACAGTCACCATACATTAGACAAAAATTTTAAATTGTATATTGCTATAATTTCTATTAGATTTGATGTATGATATATATATTGAAAATATCAGATATGAAACATTTATTAATTATTACAAAAATTAGTTTAAATATTTTATTTCAAACTCATAGTTGAACAACTGGGCAATATTAACTTAGTATACGATTTATTAATTTTTGACAAAACAATATCATTATAATTATTGTTTTTCGACGATACACATGATTAGATCATCTAATTTTTCGTTGATAACGTGCTCGCAATAATTAAGCGTTTTGATTTGACAGCTGGTAGCTGATAGGTAYTTACTTGCATCCACCGCCCTGAAGAGATTATATCCGGGTTGTGGCGCTACTCCACCATTTGGATAGAAATCTACGTGGCCCAATCTATCCATACAGCCAAGAGTCCCTGCGGCTGTGTGTATCACGTCCACAAACTCGGCATCGTCTTTGTCCAAGCGTTCTTTCTGGATAGGAATACACTCAAACCCTGGGGAAGCTGGATCTAGACCTATTGAACCACAGTGGTATAAAATATATATTATACACTACGCTCACCTGAACTGTAAATTTGAACTTTATTCAGTGATTACGCACATGATGCGTTATGATATAAATATATATTTAAAAAAAATATGTATATTAAGTACYCCATATTTTATAATAATGATTTATAAGTTTATACAATGAACACTGCCAGTCTAATATATAGGTATAATTAATTAAAATTCACCGGTCTTACAATAGATATTTGACAAATAAAATAATCGTTATCAAAACTGATTAATGACAATCATTGACACAATCAAACGCTGTATAATCGAATATTCGAATTATTAACGATAGACAATTCCCATCACTAGTA